ATCCTTTTCTTTAATAATAATAATAACAGTAATTTGGCTGTGATGCATGTGTCTGTTATACTGACTGGGTGTAATCATGGATATACTAGGCTTTGTATATTTATATCTCTGTATCACTTTGTTAATATACTGATCTCTCTCATTACTTATAATAATAATAATAATAATAATAATAATAATAATAACTGAGAAATGTTCAAGCAACTATATTTTGACCCCTCACACCAAAATCTGTTTTAATCAAATAATCACTCAAAATTCTCTGTGACTGAGACATTAGTAGATCTAAGCCTGGAGACAAGATTTGTTATAGTAAATGCAAAAAGGAAACATGGAATTCAGTCAATAAGGACATTATTTTAGTCTGATGAAGTCCTTTTAAAGAATGAAACACATTACATAAAATTTTCTCCACTTTTTTAATTCACTTATCCAATATTATTTTGACATATAGAAATTTGTATAATTTTATATAACGCATTTCATCCTTTAAAAAGTACTTCATCAAACTAAAATAATGTTCTTATTAAGAGAATTCATCAATAAGCATATTGTTTTAGCCAGATGAAGTTCTTTTAAAGGACAAAACATGTTGAATAAATTTTTTTTCCATTTTGTCATTCAATTAACATAATGGTTTTTACTGTTCTGGCAGACCACAGAGTAATTGTCAAAGAAAGGGAAAAATATTTCCAGGGAGCTGGCAAAGTTGGGAAATATAATGATGCCTGTTGTGCCAGTTATTATTTGAACACTGAGAATAGTCTCAAAGCAATTAGAAAAAAAAAAGAGACTGAAGAACTGGCAAATTAAGGGATGAGATAGACCCGTTCAGAGAACAGTTAGGATACTGAGGAGGGTGCTGGCGCATTGAGGACACTTGCTTTATTCCCTGTGTAAGCCACCTGTAAAAAGAATTGTACTAAACAGAAAGAAGAACAAGAAAAATAATAAGAATATATTATTACTACTACCACAACAGCTAATCACCACTGCTAATAATGATAGTGATGTTGATGATGATGATGATGATGATGATGATGATGATGATGAGTCTATAAAGGAATGTACTAAATAGAAATCAAAGATGGTGTGATACTACTATTACGACTACTACTACTACTTATGATGATGATGATGATGATAATGATGACCCAAGTTGGGATTGTGCTAAACAGAAAGTAAATGAAGAAAAGATGATGATGATGATGATGATGATGATGATGATGATGATGATACTACTATTACTACTAGTATTGCTGTTGATGGTCATGGTGGTGGTAGTGGGGATGGGGATGATGATCTGTGAAGGTATTGTACTAAACAGAAAGCAAAAGAAGGTAATAATAATAATAATAATAATAATAATAATAATAATAATAATAAACAACATATTTTTTTACAAACTGGTTTGAAATGTATTCTCCTGTGTGGAAACATCTTAATTTCTCACAAAATCTTTAGAAAAATTATTTAAAATTTTTTTTGCAGATCAGGAAATGAAAAAAAAAATGGAAGTTCTTTTCTTAACAAGGAGTGAAAAAAAGAACAAAAGAAAAAAATGAAAAGAGAAAAAGAAAAAAGAAAAAATGAAAAAAGAAAAAGAGAAAAAGGAAAAAAATGAAAAAGAAAAAAGGAAAAAAATGAAAACAAAGAAAGATCCTTATTTCATTGCACTTTCATAAAAAAAAACAAAGATAAACTTTTTTTTTTTTTAACTCTGCATTTCATCTTCCATTCAACAAATCAAAATCTTTAATTCAATCATTGACTTTTTTTTTTCAGTATTTATTTATTTATGAATATATTTGAATTTACAGCTTGATTATCTTGAATGACTTGCAATTCATGGAAAACAATTAGATTTGATGATAACAGCTTCTACTTGCCTCCTTCAAAATGTGAACAACTTTCTTCTTCTTAATCAACATTTTCTTATTCAGAATTTTTCTTCTTCATTTGCATATGTCATTTTTTTCTTCTTTTCTTTCCTCATTCATCCTTGCTTCTTCCTGTGTAACAACTCTGTCTTTATTACAACTTTGATTCCTTTTATTTGTCTTAATTCAGTCATCTATACTCTTATTATGTTTGTTCGTACATTCATTGTATTTTTCTATCAAAGATCACAGTTGTTATATAGGAATAAAGTGTAGCTGCCGACACTTGGGTTTGAACACAGATCACCTGAGAGAAGACACAGGTGATCCCATTTTGAATTAGTAGATCATGTAATGGTAAATGAAATGTATATATGGGAATTAGCGTGATGTCTAAACAATCACCATTTCTACACTATCCTCTATTTCTATACTGATTGCTATTCTCTATACTATTTCACTATTTAAATCACTATTCAGTGGTTACTTTTTGAGTGAGTATTATTAAGTAAGTACTATTAGTGCGAATGTTATTCAAAGGCTTCTGACACCAGAATTGTTCAACGGCGTTACTATAGTTGTATCGACTACAAGTATCACGAAAGTGACAATGAGTATTTGTTGACATTACAAAAGTGGCAATGAATGTTCATTGACATCACTAAAACAGCGTAGTATCTATTCAATTCTTAGCCCTTCTGAACTGAAAGCAGTTATGCTTTCCGACCAAGAAGGTAAGGTTAGGTTGGTTAATTTAATGATATATCAAACCTAGTTGGAATATACAATGGTAAAATCTGTTTTTATCAAACTTTTGTCAAAAGAGAATATTAGCAATTTCCTCCAAGATGAAGACAAGACTTGAGGTAACAGAAATATGGTTCTACAGAAGGATGCTGAGAATACCATAGAACTGAACATGTGAGCAACTAAGAAGTTTTACAGAAAATAGAAACAAAAAAGGAAACTTCAACTTAGAATCCAAAAGAGACAGCTGAAATCCTCAGACATGTAATATGTCTGAGGAAGTAAGGCACGGAAAATTTGATACTCACAGGACATATCGAGGGCAAAAAAGACAGGGTAAGGCAATAGACTACTTACCTGATGAATTTATATAAATTACTGGTAAAATGGAGTGAGAGGGATGGTAAAGAACAAAAATTACTAAGGATAGGACGTTGTGGAGAGCAATGATCATCCACGTTTTGAAGTGACACGGCACATCTATATAATAAATGTGAATGTCAGAGTGTCACACTTTTTCAACTTTATTCCTAGTGGCTTTAGCCCTATATGTAATACCATTTTGGAATCAGGCCAACTCTGTAAGCAAATTAGAAACATTCCAGGCTGTATCCTAACCCGCAATCCTGAAATTTTGGATTCCCAAGTTTTCATTACTGCGTTTGTTTTCGGCAATTTTTGTATGTGATTTTTTGCGACGAATTTTTTTGTACGATTACAATTTTTATAACTTGGAAATAAATTTGGGAATAATTGAAATTAATTGCGAAATCCAACGAAAGTCAGCCATAAAATAAAAATAATCGTTTGTACTGAAAGTAAAGACCTACATATATCATATTGTCTTTAAATTAAATGGTGGCAGAAGAATTATCATTGAACTTTTAAAAGGTGAGCTTAAATATTAATGAAATACTTAAATGCAGCGATCAATTTTGAGTTCTTCTGTAGTTTATTGTTGCCTATCGCATCTACTCCCCCCTACCTCTTGTGATGAAGGCCCAATCAAAAGCCCTCCACAGGAGCTAGCATAATGACACCCGATAGGGCGGCTTTTAAGCTAGTATAATAATTTATATCAGAATGAACAGTGCACAGGCTTGATCTAAAGATAGCATTTATAGGCATAAAATTGACATTCAGCGAGCAAACTTAATTTTAACGTCTCCAAAGTGAAACTACTTTCTTTTAATCATCTTAGAGAACCTTTTTGCCTCCCATCAGCATGGCTGATGCTAACCTCCAGTGACACACTGGGCTAATGATGTGGAAAGGTTATATTGAATCAACTGCTACAGTCAACGACGAAATTATTCGTACACTCATTAATTTTAAATATTTTTATCCATTTCTCAGAATTAGATGCCAAGTTTTTTATATGCACATAATAAGCAAGAAAAAAAAAAGGAATATAAAACTCAATTTTCAGAACAATAGGTTAAATACAACAAATTTGACAGGCGAATTATGCAAAATAGGAAAAGACAAAATTATTTGTACAATAGAATATATAGTTCTAAATTGATTGATTCGTGTAAGTATAAGTAATTTACATAATTATTTTATCGGTGAAAACTTCTGGACTATTTATTCAGTAGAATATTTGTGACAATTCCAGCAAAGAACATCACGTGGCGCATAGAGTGTCACCATTGTTATTCTTGCATTAACAACATGATGGGAAAGACAAAGGAGATTAGCGTTGACTTGAGACAGTGAATTATTAATTTCCACAAGTCGGGAAGAAGTTACAGTACTACTTCAATCTACGGTTATAAAGAAGTTCAAACAGTTTAGCACGACAGAGAATTTGTCTGGGCGTTGAAGAAAACCCAAATTGTTACTAAGAAATGCACGAAAACTCAGTTTAATTTTGCCAAAACGTTCTTGGACAAAGAAAATTGATTTTGGGAACAAGTACTATGGACTAATGAAATGAAAATTGAGTGTTTTGGACATAATGATGTACAGATCATTTGGTGCAAGAAAAGCGAGGTTTTCCATCCAAAGAACACAGTGGTAACATTAAAAACGTGGAGGCGGCTTGATGATGTTTTGGGGTTGTTTTAGCTCAGTTGACACTGGACAATTAATTGCAATAAGAGGAATAATGGAATCTGCAGACTATATCAAAATTCTGGATGAAAATCTACAGCTATCAACTGAAAATCTTCATCTCGGTTGGCGATTTACTTTCCAGCAAGATAATGATCCCAAACATACGTCGAAATCAATGGCTACGTGGCTTCAGAAAAAGAAGATTACAATTCTGCCATGGCCTACAATGAGTTCTGATTTGAATCCTATTGAAAATCTATAGCAAGAATTGAATGTTGGAATAAATCGTCGGTCACAAAAAGATTTTTCGCTTAGTTCCTTTTTCCTCTTCTTTTTTTCTTTTTTTCGCCTTGTCTTTTTTTCTCTTTATCTTTTATTTGTTTCTCTTCTTTCCTTTTGTTTCTTCTTCTCTTCCTCCTCCTTCTCATTCATTTGATTTTCTTTCTTACAATTTTTCATTTAATCTTCTTCTTTTCATTTAATTTTCTTCCTTTTCTTTCTCATTCCTTAGATTTCTTCCTCCTTTCGCTACTCAGCCGTTGAATTTTACACTGGCTTTCTCATTCGCTTGATTTTCTTCTTTCCTTCTTTTTTTTCTTCACATATCTTTGATTTATTTCCTTCTCATTCATTTGATCTTTCCTAACCTCATTTTCCTTTTCATTCCTTTGATTTTCTCTTTTCTTTCTTTTTTTCTTCCCACACATTTCTTTTCTTACTTTCCTTCGTTTGGAATTTTCTTTCTTCCATTTTCTTTCGCATTCATTTGATTTTCTTCATCTCTTTTCATTCATTTCATTTTTCCTCTTCTTTTTCTTTCTCATTCATTTAATTTTTCCTGTTCATCTTTTCACTTTCCATACATTTATTTTTTTTTTTTTACTTTTCTTCTTATTCAATTGAACTTCCGCTTCCTTCATTTTCTTTCTCGTCCATTTTATTTTTTCTTTCCTTCACATTTATTTAATTTTCTCCTCAGCTTTTTTTTCCTTCCCATGCAATTAGTTTTTTCTATTTTGCTGTCCATCGTTTTCTTTTCCTTCATTTGATTTTCTTCTTTCCTTCTTTTTCTTTATAATTCATTCATTTTTTCTTTCCTTCATTTTCCTCCTCATTCTTTTTAATTTTCGCCTCTCTTTTTCCCATTCACATTCATTTGACTTTTTCCTCTCCTTCTTTTTCCTTCTCAACAGCTTTTTCTTTCTCTTCTCATCGTTATTATTCTTTTCATTTTTATTTCGGATCATAAAATTTCCTTCGCCAAAAGGGTCCCCCCCCACCTCGTAAGTTTTATTTCGCTTTTAATCCCTCCATGCATCCGTCTATTTTCTTTTACTTGGATTAATATAATCTTGTTACCCTTTTTCCCTACTTAGAAGAAAAAATGCAGGTGTTGTAATGTGTAAATTCCTCTAATTGCACATATCATGCAGACAGCAGACCTGTCATCTTTCTGGAAAGAACCTGATCAGAAATATCAATGAAATACACCCAAAGAATCTAATATTAAAATAAAAGTATTTTCAGAAAGTATTTTTAAAATGTATTTAAAATGTTCATCATAAACACTCCACAATTCTTTCTCAGAACAATTGATAGCCAGAGATTAAACTAATGGAAGTATTTTTAATAACAATAATAATCTGTTATGTATCTTTGAAGATCTTCAAAAAACTATCAAAATGCAAAGATCTTGAAGTGGTAATCTCAAAAATGAGGTACATGTAGACATCAATAATTCCAGTTGCAGTTGGAACACTCGGATTGATTAGAAAAGGTTCTGATAGACTAAATGAAGGGATTCCTGGTAGCCCATGCTTAAAGAAATACAAAAGATTGTGAAGAGTTTTATCTATGTAAAATGTGTGTGATCAATGTTTTTTTTTTTTTTCATAATGATCAGTGGAAAATGTCATAAAGACATTTCTGATATTAGGTCTCTGGATGGGACCCGGGAGGAATTGTGCATACAATAGAATCCGCCCTTGCATGGAATATTCCTGTCATTTATGGTCTGGTGCTCCCGCTGTACGTCCCGAGGTCCTCCATAAGATCCAGAGACAAATATGCAAGATGATAGCTCCTGAGCTGTCATCTAGTCTAAAATCGCTTTACCACAGACGTGCCGTGGCTTCCCTCTGTCTCTTCTAAAAGTATTTTCACGGCAACTGTTCCGACGAGCTACTTTCGCTGGTTCCCAGACTGCATGAATTTAAGCGAGCTACCAGGCTGGCATCTCGGTCCCACCCTTTCACTGTCAAAACGGTTAAATGTAATCGTCTCTTCTTCTCAGATAGCTTCTTCTCCCGCACTTCCCGTCTGAGGAACTCCCTTCCCCTTACTTGCTTCCCCGATGACTATAATCTTCAAATATTCAAGAGTAATGGTAATCGACATCACACTGAGATTGTTCCCCGTCCTTCTCCGTATCCTTTCCCCAAACGTGTCTCTTTACTCTTGTTTTCAATCCTCTGTAACCCCTTGCGTGCTAGGGGCACTCCCGCCTTGCATGGGGTGAATTGCTTTAAAAAAAGAAAGAAGAAACCTAAGGAAAAAGATAAGCAATAATAATAAAAATCCATTGACTAAAATTTGTGTAACATGATAATCTAATATATATATATATATATATATATATATATATATATATATATATATATATATATATATATATATATATATACTGTTATATAGGAATAAAGTGTTGTTACCGATACTGGAGTTTGAACATTGATCGCCAGTGAACAAACGCAGGCGATCCCATTTTGAATAAGTAGATAACTTCGTGATGGCAAATGATATGTATATATGGGAATTAGCGTGGCGTCTAATTGATCACCATTTCTATTTCATCCCCTATTGCTAAACGGATCGCTATTCTCTATACTATTTACGATACTATTCTCTATACTATTCACTATACTATTTCTCTATACGGATCACTATTCGTTGGTTATTATTCGAGCGATTATTATCAAGCAAGTACTATTAGTGCGAGTGTTATTCGAAGGCGTCTGACTCCAGTATTGTTCAACGGCGTTACTATAGTTGTGTCTGCGATTACAAAATCTCTACTACCTGACGTATTTCCTTCCTCACTTTCTTGCTTGCCTCTTTTTTCTCACACATTTGTATTTACTCACCCCCTCCCCCACAAAGTCGGTTTACGGCGGGAGCCCGAGCGCGTACATCCGGGCTAGGAACAAAAATTGCCCGAGGCCCCGCAACCGTCGCTTGAGCCGGCCCCGGTGTGAGCACCGATCGTTCTCTCTGGTGCAATGAGAAGTCGCGGACTCGGGCAGCTCTTCTCCAGGGCCGGCACCTCTCAGTATAATTTTACTCATTTGCGACTAGTCCTTTGATTAAGTCGCTCCTGAGTGCACTCTTCCCAAAGACAGAGACGCAACTGAGAGATGAGAAAAAGGGTGTTACAAACCACCCGAGAGAGTAATTTACACGTACACGCGAAGAAATCAAATTTCTTTTCATCTTAACAAACAAGGAATTTTAACACTCATACACACTGAGAAAAACTTAGTTGTAAAAGCAAGAAAATAAAATATTTTATATTTAAAAAAAAAACCTTTCTTGATTTTTTCTTTGTCGTAAGTTGATTCAAATCCGTAAGAGATCTCGAAGGTTTCGGAGTGGAATCAAAGCCAAAAACACTTTTTTCAATTTATCAGGCATAGTATTTTGTTCTTTATATACTTATACTTATTGATCGAGAAGCTAAAATTAGGCTACTCAAATTTTCATTCTCGAAATTTAATATTCATGATTTTAATTTGTTTTTGTTTATCAAATACCTGCACCACTGAGTGTTGATCTGCGTAATATTGCCTTGCAAAAAATAAATAAATAAATAAATAAAAAATAAAATAAATAAATAAATAAATAAAAATAAGTAAATGAAAATAGTTCAACTTCAGCCTTTTTGGTAAATTTTTTTGGTAATGCTTTTTTTTTTCAACAGGATGATAAGGTAATTGACTTTCTAGTAGAGTGCGAGACATGAATTGCAAACAATTTCATATCGTACTTAAAGTCACCAAAAGGTTAAGAATGCTGACCTGACACGTGATACTTAGAAGTGCTGTGATTAGTTTATGCTAAACAATTAAAATAACTTTCAACGCGTCTGTAGAGGTTATGATACCCATGATTTTTTTGGTCGGCCCTAAGGTAGCCACGCCACATGAATAAACACAAACACGGCGTTGATTTCAATCTCTAAGGGAATGACTATATTTAGCCCCCCCCACGAGGGCATCATGTGGCACAAGGCCGGTTTAACGTGGGATCTCCGAGCCCGTGGGCCCGGCTAAAAATATGCCCATTGAACCCGTATAAACGGGTTCAGGGTCGGTTTACGTCCCCGAAAGAGAATCCGCCCTACGGCGTAGCCTCGTTCGGGTTCCTCCCCGCCCGAAGGCAGAGAGTTCGACCGGTCAGCCGGTCGTCCGACTTCAGATTGAACTCAGACCGAACCACTGAGCTACAGGGAATGACTGCAAAATAATTGACTCTCTTCATTTTATAGGCAGAAACACACAAATGCATGCTGGGATTTTATCCTAGCCAATAAAATGGACCGGTTCTCGGTTGCATCTGACTCAGTGCCGGTCCGTTTTGTTTTGAAGTCAGAGCGCTACGTTTGCCTGTCCACACTTGCTTTTGTGTGTGTAACGGGAATGCCTGTTGTGTTTATGTAGAAAACACTAGTATTATTTTTCCGTAACAATTATTGCACACCCGAATGTGAGTCCAAGGAAGAAATGACTGATACAAAACAATATAAAGCAAATGACAATGCATGTATTAACAAAAGTATTACAATTGCAATAAACGAAGACTACATTTTAAGACTAGTTTCATAAAGCGTTTAATTTAGAAAATCTGTGTTTGTGTGAAGTTTATGTAGGTCTACGTGATAGACAAAGTGTGTGAAAGAGTCCAAAAAGTCACAAGAGAAAAATAAGATATTGAATATGAACGTTCCCCAATGGGGGGGGGGGCACTTTTTCCCACGTGCGACTACATCTTATAGCCAGAGCTGTAAAAGAGGAAAGAGAATCAGTTAGAATATAATTTCCTATTTATAAGCTTAAGGAGCGCCCCCTGACGGCGGTTTTTTTTTATGAAAGTCAAGTAGGATAATCTACACGTTATTTTGTAAACTTATTGCGATATTACTGTTGTTTTGCCTTATTACTCTTCATTAGCCTTGCACATATTATTTGCTTGCTTTATATTATTTTTGACCTGTTCTTTTCTTTTTCTTGTTGTTTATTGCAAACTTTGTCAATTCTGGTTGTTGTACAGTTCTGTTACTTATTTTGCATTTGATCATGGCTACTCACTCTACACACGGATTTATAGAACAAACAGTAGCAACTATTTAAGTCGGAACACTGACACTCTGGAAAAGAAGAAAGTATGAGTCTCTGCCAGAGCAATTAGTTCGTTGTGGCAACAACAAGCAACGGTCATAAATCAAATGTGTAAACTTTTCGGGGGCGTATTTGGTTTTAGTATGTGAAATACCCAGATGTCCATTTTAACACCTCCAAAACAAAACTTCTCTCCATTAATCATCTGAGAGACCACTCTCTGCCTTCCATCAGCATGGCTGATGCTATCCTCCAAGAAATTCACTCATTGTACCTTCTCAGGCTAATGTTCTCAGCTGACATGAGGTGGAAAGACTACATTGAATCTATCACTAGATCAGCTGCTAAGAAAGTTGGTTCACTGTGTCAGGCAAGACAATTTTTCTCTCCGGAATCTATCTTGCATATCTATAAGTCTACCATTCATTCATGCTTAGAATATTGCTGCCATATATGGATCGTTGTCCATGTTATTTTCCTGGAGCTCTTCGATAAGGTCCAAAGAAGAATCAGCAATATTATCAGTCCTGATCTGGCGGCTCGGCTTCAGTCACTTGCCCATCGCCGTATGTGCCTTTTTTCATAAATACTTTCAAGGTAATTGTTCGGATGAGCTATTCTCTATGGTACCTAGACTGTATGAATCTAAGCGCAATACTAGACGGGCGGTGAGATCACATCAATTTACAGTTGAGCTGGATAGATGTAGCCGTAAGTTCTATGCTAGGAGTTTCTTTTCTCGCACTTCTCGCTTGTGGAACTCTCTTGCGGTTCCATGCTTTCTAACCAACTTTAATCTGCAAAAAGGTAAATGCAATGTCAATCGCTATCTACTGTTCTCCAGATTGCTCTTTTCCTTTTCTCCTTATTACTAATGTTTCTATTCTTAATTCTTCCACTTCTTGTAACCCCCTCCACTTCCTGTAACCTCCTCCACTTCCTGTGACCCCCTTGCGTCCTGCCTTGCTTGGGGGGATATCGATTTAAAAAAAATCCAATTACCAAACGGCGGAGCGTTACTTCTTGTGACAAATTCCTTGTCCGAGAGTATTGAGTAGAATTTTACGGTACCGATGTTTCGTTCAGATGTTCCGTTCCTGGTCGCTTCTCCTCTGTCGCTCTACCTCTATCTGTTTAAATTCTGAGTCTCCCCTGCTTATATAGACTCAACTTGGACACAATTTTAAATTCTTGATCTTCCCTTTGAATCCTTAATACTGATTTGCTGGTTTTGTTATTTTGATGAAAGTACCTCCGCGCGTTGAAATTAGATATTTCATAAGGGTAGTTTCTCGTTGAAAGCGCAACAAAATGAAACAATTCTCAAGCATAATAATTACTTCGGTATTTTAAATTGGGAATTGGGGTTATTAAATTCCACAATTGCCAGTATCCACATGACTTCGCATATTTCCTCCGCTGACTCCCAAAACTGGATGAAATTAGATATATTTATAAGGGTAGCTTCTAAATTACGACATCTAAATATCTATGTTAACTAATGCTTTACTTCCGGCTACATTTGTCCCTGCGCCTGAAAGATTTTTTTAGGTTTTTGGATGTGTGATACGTTACATTCTACGACAAAATGGACATCCTCATTAATACAGCACCTTCCAATTTGGTTATTTCTTCATAGAGTTAAATGCGTTAACTGCAGCAACATCTACAATGTACAATGAATCCCAATGAAAGGAGAGCTGAAACACTTCGTCTGTGGCTCTTAATCTCTTCCCTCGCTCACGAATAAACAAGCAAAGAGTTACCATTGAGAAAGGATTTGTTGTGATCACCTTTTTCTTTTTATGTGTCATGTCCTTTCAGGACGTAGGCGATCATGGCTCTCCATCTCTCTCTATCCCTTGCACTTCTTCTCTCTGCTTCCTCCCCCAGACCACGTTCTGTCATCCACTTGCTTAAGGCTGCCAGGTATGTCATGTGTTGTTTTCCCTTGTCTCTCTTTCCCTCTATTCGACCTGTGAGTATCCGATTCTCCAGGCCCTCCTTCCTCATTATGTGTCCCAGAAACTTCAGCTGCTTCTTCCTGATATCATGTATAAGCCTCCTCCTTGTTTGCAACCTTTCTAATACCTCATCGTTGCTCACACGCTTGGTCCATGATATCCTTAGCATCTGTCTCTAGAACCACATCTCGAGTCTCTTCTTCATCTTTGAGGTAATTGTCCAACATTCGCTGAAGGACAGATGTCACATAACAGCTCAGTATTCTTTTCTTTGTTACCATCTTTTCTTTGTTACCAAAGAAATCCTGTCTCGCAGTACTCTGCTCAGCTTTTAGAATGTGTCCTCGGCCATCCTAATACGTCTATGGATCTCAGTGTCGCACTTACTGTCCTCTATCAAGATGCTTCCTAAATATTTAAACTTCCGCGTCTGCCTGATTCTAGTGTTACCGACTTTCAGATCGCATTTCAGACTCATCTTCTTACTGATGACCATGCATTCTGTCTTCTTGTAGTTTATGCTTAGTCATTTCTTCTTACTCTCCGTCGCTAGGCTCTTCCGTAGGAGATTTGTTGTGATCACTGGTTTTATTTAATCCGGGCTGCTTTGAATAATATGCAAATATACGCAACGGTTCTCCTCAATAAATTAAAAATACATCACTTTTCCGATTATCCGGACATCTTGAGAGTGGGGTTAAAAAATATGTTCGGATAATACTTTTCGGAAAGAAATTTCTATTTATACCATAAATTATCTTACGACTTATCAACCTTTTATAGGCTACTTAAAGCCAGTAAATATTTTTAGATCGTAAGATTTTTTGGAGATAATAATGATTTACTCATACAAGACCTACTAATTAACTCGTAACTGACGGTAGTGGGGGGGGGGGAGATGGATTCATACCATTCCCAAGGATATTAGTGCATAAGGGAATATAACAACTGGAATTGGTACTCGAATCTTCAATTTACAATTCTGAGACGTTATCGGTTACCCTACACACATATTCAAGATTACAGCACCTGGTATTCCCAAGTGCTCCCGCATCTAGCTGCTGACCAGGTTCGATGTTGCTTAACTTCGGCGATCGTACAAAAACCTGTGTTTCAACGTGATATGGACGTAAGCCTATAGCATAAAATAACATATTGAAAGGTTTTGTTAAATTTTTTGTCTAGTTTATTTTTTTATAAATGATACATAAGATTTTTTTCTATTTCCAGCTGGCTTCCCGTTTTTTTTTTTTTGCCGCCGACTTCCAAAACTGGATGAAATTAGAAATATTTATAAGGGTAGCTTCTGGTCGAAAGCACAACAAAAAAGAAATAATTCTCAAGCATAATAATTACTTTGTTATTTGAAATTGAGACTTGGGCTATTACACTTTACCATGGCCAATATCCAGCTGGTTTCGCTTTTTTTTATTTTACCGCCGTCTCCCAAAACTGGATGAAATTAGTTATATTTATAAAGATAGCTTCTTATTGAAAGTGCAACAAAAACGAAATAATTCTCAAGCATAATAATTAATTCGTTATTTGAAATTGAGCCTTGGGGCTATTAAACTTCAACATGGTCAATATCCAGCTGGCTTAGCGGTTTTTTTTTGCTTCCAACTCCAAAAACTGGATGAAATTAGTAATATTTATAAAGGTAACTTCTAGCACAACAAAAAAGAGTAATAGTAATATTTATAAAGGTATAAACTGAATGAAATTAGTTATATTTATAAGGGTAACTTCTGGTTGAAAACGCAACAGAATGAAACAATTCTCAAACAATAATTGCTTCCGTGTTTAAAATTGGACATCGGGGCTATTGAGATTTAACATGACCAATATCATTATCACATCAACATTTTCCGACACGGTTCTAAGTTCAACAATATTCTGATCACTTAGGTTACGTACCCAGGGTCGTCTGCCTTGAACCAGACATATATTTCTGTTTTAGTTATGTCAAATTTTCAAGATTTTATCCAGCTTCAGAATGCTGAATAAAATCTTGAAATATTGGAATTGATTTAGTTCGGATGATTGAAAAATGTTTGAACGATTTAATTTTTTTTTTTGTTTATTTCAAGTCCAGTTAACTGAAGCCTGAAAACTTCAGGTACGGATAATCTAGGTATCTGCTGATGTGGTCAATGTTTTCTTGGGTCAGGTGTGGTTATTTCCATTGTCAATCCAGAAAACAAAAGATAGCGATCACAGGTAAAAATTTCTTTGATTTATTTATCTTTAACATTTCTTTTTATCATTTCTATGGATTTTTCTACTTTCTGGGCATGTTTTCCGTGACCCCCCCCCAAGTTACTCTGATGTTATAAAATATGTAAATGTACCTTTTAAACCCTTTTTTTTCTGTTGGACAAAATTAGACATTTCCTATGGGAAAATGGACACACCACCGGATACACCGAATAGTCCTTTACAATGTTGATATAGTTTCTCATTCAAAATAGTTTTCCATTTTCAAAACCTGAGAATTTCTTTTAGGAGATCTCCAAAGGTATTTGGTGAGAGGTACTTTTTAGATCATAGGTAGAAAATACAGTATAAACTGTAAATTGATCGAGAGGAGACACGGTGGTGTAATGGATAGCTTGAGGAATCGGAGAGCCGAGTTCGAATTCCAGTCGAATCCATTACGCGCTAATACGCCTGGGGAAAGGTATGAATCCTCTTCTCCCCACAGCTATGGAAAAGTAGTAGGTCAGACGGGGTTCTATAGCCTTTGATGGCAACTGGTTTACTGCAGAAAGAAATGGCAACCTACTGCGGGGAAAAAAGATATATGATCGCCTAAGCGTGTATCACGTATGGCATATAACTTACTGAATATTAAGTAAGTAATCTTTGTCTGTGTATTTTAGTGAGGTTCCTAACTACCCCACTTTGGTTCCTCCAAGAAGAGGAGCTTGGTCCAATATTACACGCATTGAGAGTTATTTTTAACGTATTTTCTATAAAAACTGTTTTTTTTTTATCTCAAAAATATTTCGATTTTGTAGCAGTTGTTTTACAATTAGGATTATGAGATTATCCTATTTGTCTCTCAGGGAACTTCTTCTATCAGTCTTAGCTTGCGAGACTTGGAGAAAGTTGCATTCCCAGGACATATTGAAGGTAAGAGGGACAAAGTGAAAGGGGAGTGGAAATGGCTATCAGAACAGGGAGTGGGAGGGACAATAGAAAGGCAAGCATTGATAGAGCTGCAAAAAGACAGTTGTGGAGAGCTGTGATCGCCAACGTCCTGAAGAGACAGCGTATAGAAAAAGAAGAAATGTACAGCATTTAGAACTTATGTAAAACTAATTTTATGGAAAATTTTAACTTCATAAATATCTTAGTTATTATGTAGTAGGAAAAATAAAAATTAAAAGAAACATAATTTAAATTAGACTGACAGAATAATTAAAACGGAAGTAGTGTCTACACCAACATCCGGACAACCTTTTATACATGGACCGTTGCAATAGACTCATGTGTTCACTTTTTTTTTTTTTTTTTTTTTACAAGAAAATAAACGTGTAACCTTTCCGTCTTGTGTGAGAGAAAAAGTTTTGTCTGTGGTAACTGAAGATTACGTAAAACTGATTTAAGATATGTCCTAAGACAATACTTCCAAACGTGTTATATGCGAACTTTCAAAGAAATATTTTGTTGAATAAAGCATAATTTAAAATATTACTCTAGTTTGAAATTGGCTTAGAAGCAATTTCAGACAGGTATAGACAGCTTTAAAGCATATATTTTTATTTTGAGGTTGCAACGTTTCGTCGATTTTGAGGGGTCAACGAACACTCGCTGCAAAATTTGTAATGTCAACGAATACTCTTTGTCACTTTCGTAATGCTCGTAGTAGTAAAGACTTTGTAATTGCAGATAGAACTATAGTACGCCGTTGAACAATTCTGGTGTCAGACGCCTTCGAATATCACTCGCACTAATAGTACTTGCTCGATAATACTCGCTCGAATAGTAACCACCGAATAGTGATACGTATAGAGAAATAGTATAGTGAATAGAGTAGAGAATAGCGGTCTGTATAGTAATAAAGGATAGAATAGAAATGGTGATCCATTAGACGCCAAGCTAATTCCCATATATATCATACTTATTATAAAACCCAGGTTGTGTGTGTGTGTTGTGTGTGTGTGTGTGTCTGTACGTTTACATATTGGATTGGATTTCCTACATTTTTCAACCGATTTCAACAAAACTTCACAGGACTACGTAAAATTACCTTGCGGTGGTTCTGACAGCGCCAAAAATTGGAAAAACACAATTGTTTTTGCACGAAATCAATTTGAAAACACGATTAAGAGACATCGGGGGGGGATGAAAGGGGGACAACTCATATCGAGTTATACTTATTATAAAACCCAGGTTGTTTGTGTGTGTGTGTCTGTGTTCATTTATATATGGGATCGGATTTCCTACATTTTTCAACCGATTTCAATAAAACTTCACTTTTTTTTGGCAGGTAGTGTTTCTTGATGCCTTGCACACTTTTTTCTTTATTTTTACATTCAGAATGCTTTAAAAATTCAATTTACAAGACAATTGTTTATAATAAAATTCTATTCAATCGGTAACGATTGAAAACAATGTTTTTGTTTGAGTTTAGGTTTGACCAATTCGTAAAAAAAAAAAAACTAAAAAAAAAAAAAATAATTAAGACATGCGTGTCCGTCAACCTTAAACAATAATCTTTGTCAATTTTATTTTTCAGTCTTTATAATGGTCGATACTTGATCTATCTCTTACTGTTACATCCCGGGCAACGCCAGGCTCTACTGCTAGTGTATATATATATATATATATATATATATATATATATATATATATATATATATATATATATATATATTTGGTTGGATATCCAACCAAATATGTTAGCTCTATCTCTGATATTGAGCGCTTTCTAATAAGTACCGCGCATATAATATATAAATAATTATATATATATATATATTTATTTATATTTATATTCACTTTATATATATATATATATATATATATATATATATATATATATATATATATATATATATATATATATATTTCACGTTTATATGGTCACGTGATCCACATAATTCAATAATGGGAACGCCTGTGTTTCTTCACTGGCGATCTATGTTCAAACTCAAGTGTCGGCAACGACACTTTATTCCTATATAACAATCGGAAGACAAGGGATTGCATCGAAAGGCTACCAAGAAGCCTGCATTTGATGCCAAGCATAAAAAAACAGGAATTATTCATAAACATTCACTATCATTCTCATCATTTATGTGCTCTGTCCGTTCAAGACGTAATCGATCGATCATGGCTCTCCTGAACTTCCTCTTCTTTGTAGATCTGAACAACGTGCTACTGCTGTATACAACAGCTTTCTCAGATCAATGCTTAAAATGGCCTTAAGCGGGTTAAGCCTATGGCTCTTGACGAAGACCAAACTTCTTCAAATTTTGTGGACTGGCGCTACAGAACCACAGACAAAGAACTGTACCGAAGAACAGAAACTACATCACTTGTGGACTTTCAATAGCTGTAACAACTTAAATGGTTGTCCTGGGTATGACAATAAACTACATCCGCGTCCAAGGTAAGACGATAAACTACGTCCAACAGCAGGGCCTGTAGTCAAGAGGATTTGAGGAGCGTGGGACCACCTCTTAATTGCTGGTGTTCCAAAGTCCACCCTGACCCGGGGTGGTAGTCCCTGTTAGGGTCCCAGCGAAACTAAGGTAAGAAGCATTATGAAACTGTAAAAATAGGTTTTAATACCAGAAATACTTTGCAAAACAGTTATTACCAGAAATAAATTTTTGAAAAAAAAAATTACCAGAAATAGATTTTTGACAAAACAAAATATTACCAGAAAAAAGAGAGAAAGTTGTCGGCATTTAATGACCCATTGAGGTTGATATGCCGTAAAACAAATCAAACCAAAGCAAACCAAACCAAACAGCTTAAATGGATATCACTCGAAAAGGAAAATAAGAACCTAATGAAAATGATGACATTCTACACTACTTTAAATAAAAGTTAGAAAGGGAACCCCTATCAATACTGTAAAGAGCGATAACAGCTACTGGACATAAGAAACATCTTTTCC